TCTGTCTTTTGAATCGAACCAATGCGTCAGCTCATCTTCTAAGACGGTCGACGAATTTGGGTTTCTTCGCATACATCTCGAGCTTTGTGCCGCATGACGACTGGGAAAAAAAGCAAGGGATGGCATCAATGACCTTCTGGGCCGATTCTAGACACGCACGAATGTAGTACCCTTGTCCAAGGGCATCTTGATCGACCCCTCCATGCTCGGGCACGGGCTCAGCGTGAAAACCAGCAGCGGCAACAATCCTCGGGCAATGTGTTAAGAAGACAGCGCGGTGATACATGCAGAAGTCCATGCGTGCGATGCTGTTGGGCAGACAGCCGGTGTTCCCTGGCGTGATCCGCAAGTTCAGGTCTGGGAAGAGCTCGACCCAGTATCGCAGTTATTCATGAGACTTCCGATGGCTTTGCCATCTGCCACCGCCAGGGATCACCGTGGCGGAAGAGCACGTGTAAGACGCCCGGGGACTGAATTGCCTCCGCAAACAACGATGCATCACAGCCGCTAGGGAGCGTATACCTAACAGGTCCTGTTCGGAGCTGTGCCTCAAAAGGTCCGAACCGTCTATCCAATCGCAGTCGAGCGTCTGAAAAGTAGTCAATACTTTTGTCCAGATATCAGCTGTCTTCGAAGTTCTCCCTCCCCCGGAAGTTTCTTGTCGTGAAACGCACGGGAAAACATGGTTTTCTTTGGAATGAATTCATAAGAGGGGCGTTTGTATCAACAGTAGACTGGCTTAACGGAGGTGCTCCTCGATCTAGAGCGTAAGAGACGTCCAGCACGTACGAGTAAGCCGAACTGAGCACAGACTCCTCATCATCGGCATCAATTTGTGCCTAGTCCAGTTCGCGAACGTGCATGACGGCGATTGCCACATTTTCGGTGACAAGAGATGGTATATCGCACTCGCTGGCAATAGAGGCCTGTAAGTTGCGGGGAACTGTCAGCATGGGAGGATAGCAGTGAGCGAGGAACGTGAGCAAACAGGGGCCCAGCAGATTTAACTGACCATGAGTAATGACACCTAAAGTTGATGGGATAAATTACGTCAGCTCAGGTACTCATCAACCACTACCACGTCACATTTTCCATAAGACCTCTTGCCTTTCCATCTCTTCCAGGACCTACCGGTGGAAACCAACCTGGAGTTTCAGCAGCTGGCTAGGCAATGGCCGACACTTACGCTCGCATCTTCCACGCGATTGCATCCGCGACTTGCGAGACCGTGGCAGATGTCATGTCACGAATTTAGAGGACCGTCCTGAGACAGAAAGTCGGGTGAATACGAAGTGTTGTATGAAAGCCTACGTACTAGGTATAAATAGTTCAATACTACTACATTGCAGTCACCAGGAGAGTACTCAAAGTACAGTTTGTTTCGTTGTTCGTGTCATATTTCACCATCTGGCAAGAAACCGCCAGCCTTTTTTCTTCGCAGGACCGTTCCTGCGAAATCTTTCTCTCATCCAGCGTTTCCACAGGTGGCCCTATATGGCTGAGATCGCATTGCTTCAGATCCTACTGCTTCCTACAGACCACGTAAATCTCACTTATTGAGGCGCAAGCCGTGTCGTCTTCTATCCAATCTTTCCATCCCTTGTGGAGCTCTTCAAGATTTATTTCATGTCCGATGCAACGTGCCTCGTGTTCAATCCGGGCACGAGCTTCCGGATCGGCGCTGGTGCGAGCGACCAGGCCACCCCAATTTTCACGCTCCTCGCGTGAAGACACGACCCAGGGCGCCTGGCCTACCTTGATATCAGTCGTTGAAAACCCCTAAGTTGAGTCAGACACTGGAATCACAACATGTGTAAACACTTGACCGGTCTCCTCTCTGCCGATAGAGAGCGAGGGGAGAATAGGGACTTCTTACCGCCGCGATTGCGTATGTCTTGAGCTTCCTCCCAACGTACGGATCGCACCTTTAGCCTCCATAATTGCGCTAATCATGGCGTAGGTACGGCTTATCTAGTACAATTAAGGTGAGGTGTGAGCTGTGAGGCTCTCAGAACAGGGACTGGCCGGAGAAGCCTACCGCCGTGTTTTCTGGCCACATTATAAGACACGCCCTGTCAGCCTCTTTACAGCACACGAAGCCGCCGTCCCTGACCGCGGAGCGTAATCGTCGGTTGTATACATCACGACGTTGTGCGTATGGGCTAATCACACGGCGGTGTTGCCTGATCAGCTCATCATCCTTATGGCAGCAGCGGTCTTCTTCTATTCTTGTCATTGATTATTCTTTGGTTGCTCTCACCAACGTCACATGATCCCTTGACTAGTTCGAAACCGGGCTCGCTGGCCGTAGGAGCCAGGTCTAAGGCATCCCCGACGGCGAAGCGAATGTTGTGAACGTTGGCCTTCTGGGCGGCGTCGCGGGCCTGGCTGATTACGGCCGGGCTGCCGTCAATGCCCAGGATGGTCGCCGAGGGGTAGCGCTTGGCAATGTCAATTGTGATGCTGGCGGGGCCCTGCGGAGGAAGACATTGCGAGGCACAGTGGTAAGCATAAAGAAGATGAGCATGGGGTCTTTCGGTGTACATACGCATCCAACATATAAGAATGTGAAATCTGCAGGAAGAATTTCGAGGATGGGAAGGAGATAAGACACCGAGTTGGCTATGGTTCGGTTGGAGATGTGAGCGTTTATGGTGTCAACACCATGCCCTACGTAATTCCTGGTCACGTCTAGTCGTGGTGGCATTCTGAGACCATGAGTGGTTTCTAAAGTGCTGTAATGTTAATGACATGGAGACCGGGGGAGGAAAGACGCCTTTAGACAAGGTGGGAAGGGAGTGCTGCAGCTACTTCGCCAACTATGGTCAGCTGTACGATACTAGCTATACTACCATTCGTGCCAGGATCTTGCGCATTAATCATTCTACGCTTCTAGGTGCGGTTGTGTGACTGATACAGCCATCTCTTCCCTACATCCAGGACTGACGGTGGCTACTACATAGTACAGTTACTTGTCGTGACACCTTTTGCAAGCTATAGTTCGTGAGGCTGTATGCTGCAAGGTCACTGGTCGAAGCTTGACGTATTACCGGTGGGATGTTTAAGTTAGATGTTGCATTCAATATGAATCAATAAGCGACCCGACCTTCAATCACCGACATGCTGTCGAGGTGGGCATGATTGGCTCCGGAGAATTTGAAAGGTTATCTGAACCTATGGAAAGCAAGACGCGATTAAGATTCGTCGGCATATGGAGGCGATATGAGGGGCTGGAACCATAAATTACACTATTGGAGCTGATAGGAGCCGGGCATCTGATTTTCTCCATTCTGCTGGAACTCCCTGGAAAAGGAAATCCGATATCTCGGTCGAGGCCCCGGAAGACCTAGATTGCAGACATGGCCAACTTAACCTAATAAGCTCCAGGTTCGGCTCCGCAGCTGAACTTTCTGCAAGACATTGGCAGATTTGTAGACTAACAGACAATACGGTTTTCCAACTTCTTGATGAACTCACGCTTTGCACAAACAAACCTTGATGCACGCAGCGCATATTGACGCGTATCCAATGAATTTGACTGCTTACTTCAGTTGGGCCGCGATTTTCTCGTTAACTTCCCGGCCCATTGGGACAGCCTGGAGACAGTCATCATTGGTTCGCGATGACAAACGCGTTCGACGCCAAAGAGAAATGAGAGAAGACAGTCGGGGAGAATTTAGAAATTGATCACTCAAGCTTTACAATTGCTCACTATCATTTGGGACACATACAGGTACGTGCTGATTAGTGATCTTTGGCTAGGATTCCTGGGTTGAGCATTGTCCTGGCTCTCCTTCGCGAACGGCTTCGGGTCTTGACACCTCACGGACGGGCAGCAAGCGTGGTGCCGGGATTGGGATGCCCTACGCGCGTGGGCCGCGGACGAAGAGCGCCGGGTGGACGCGGCTCGGGGAGGCGCTGCCCTCAAGGGGGCGTTCGGGAGGTTGTGGCGTACTGTTTTACCCTGAGATGTTTTCTTTTCTCCCTTCTCTGTTCAATGTGTGCGACCGCGTACTGCCATGAGAGATGTGATGGATGGTGATTGGGCTATGAACGGATTGAGAGGCCATGGGATCATCCTACAAGTAGGTTCATTCTTAGAAACGCGAAAAAGTAGGTGCATTTGATCTCGTGAGTTACAGGAGGGTCTTGGTCAAACAAGTATAGACCCAGGAGCATGCCTAGATCAAGAATGCCTGAATAGGGGCCCAAACACACCTATTTTTCAGTCTTACCCAAGCTTTTTGAATTACTATAGGCTATCTGCCTATCTCAACAGCTGCTAAGACCTTGCAATATAAGGTGATGGGCGGTATGTCATAGTGCTATAGCCGTTTCTGCCTGTGAAAATGAAATTAGATACACTGAACAATGAGTACATACGTCAGTCATAAAGGTTCACAACTTCATGATTGGAACAGACACATTATGTGACAGCAGCTGGGTAAATCCCATGCACGGAAGGACTATTTTTCTTCGACTTTCCCAGATTTTCCTTCCCGAAGTGGCCTCGGCAGAAAGGCATAGACACCCCAGAAGTAGTTCCTGAGAAACTTCCGGCCTATCAGAGTGTCAGCGGAGGCAAAAGCATACATAGCAAACTCAATCAACGGGCAGCCGTTTGAGACGAACCAGCGGCAGTATGGTAGTCGGGTTACGAGGTGCTATTCCGATCAACACACAGTGTGGATCTCCAATAGCTTCGTCGTTGTCGTTAGTGTAGAATAACAACGAGTAAAGGTTTTGCTTGATCGTACGCTGGCTATAGTATACTACTTCTACTTCTACTGTACTTCATACCATGACGTAAATAATTAATTCGGCAGACCGTAACCACGCATTCCTACTATTGCAGTCTTCTTAAATTGCCATTGTTCTACTTGCCTACTGGAGGACACTGATTAGCAATCATAACTAATCGGATGCTTACGATCCACAGCTCTTTGCTATCACCAAGCACCGAGGGAGTCACTCACATCCATTCAGCATTATTATAGACCATGACGCCGGCCGCCCACCCGGAGCCTATCGCCATCTGCGGTATGGCCGCCCGCCTGCCCGGCGAGGTGCGTACCCCGGCGAGTGCGCTGCCGCCGTCGTGCTGGGCGTCAACCTCATCACCTCGCCACTCATGACGCTGCTGTACACGGCGCAGGGCCTCCTGAGCCCCTCGGGCTGCTGCAGAACCTTTGACGCAGCCGCCAGTGGTTACGGCCGCGGCGAGGCCGTCAACGCCGTCTTCTTGCGGCGGCTATCGGACGCTGAGCGAGCCGGCGACCCCATCCGGGCGCTGGTGCGAGCCAGCGCCACGGGCCACGACGGCCACAAGGTCGGGCAGCTCAAGCCGGACGCTGCGGCGCAGGAGTTGCTGATCCGCAAGACGTACGCGCTGGCGGGCATCCCGGACTCGCAATTCGGCGACACGGCGTGGATCGAGTGCCACGGTACAGGCACCGCCGTCGGCGACCCCATCGAGATGAGGTCCGTCGCCAATGTCTTTGGCCGCGAAGGCATCGTCGTCGGCAGCGTCAAACCCAATGTCGGCCACTCGGAGGGCGCGGCTGGTCTAACGGCCCTGATCAAGGCTGTGCTGTCGCTGGAGCACGGCGTAATACCGCCCAACATCTTTTTCAACACTCCAAACCCTCTCAGTACGTTTTGATCTCAGTCTCAGGCTTCCTTTCACTTTCACTATCACTTTCACGCTTACATGTACGTCCACCTTCACTTTCACCTTAAGCTCTCCCTCTCACTCTCACTTTCATTTTGACCATCACTCTCATTCTCCTTATCCGTCTTCCGTCTCCTTACCCTTGCTACACATTTCAAATTACGTGGCTCACCCCATCTATAGTCCCCTGGCAGGCGGCCAAGCTCCGAGTCCCGGTCGACCCTCTGCCGTGGCCCGACGGCCGCAAGAAACGGGTCAGCGTCAACTCCTTTGGAGTAGGCGGCTCTAATGCCCACGTCATTGTCGAAGACGGCAGATCGTCCAAACTCCTGGCTCGCCGGGTTCCCACCGAGGCGGCCCGCGTCCTGCTACTTTTCAACACCACTCACCCTTGGTCGCTGCAGAAGCAGGTCCTCAACCATAGAAACTACCTTCTAGAACGTCTACCTGCCTCGCGTCATGACGTGGGCAGCCTCCTTCATGATTTGGCCTACACGCTCGGTTGCCGACGCCATCACTTCCCTCTGCCGACGTATAATGTGGTTCGAGTGCGATAAAAGCCCGAAAACGACTACGAGGACAATACAAAAGCAGCCGATTGCGGGCTGTTGAGTTTCGGCGACGCAGGCCATTCCGGACATCTTCAGGACAAGACGCCGCCGCCCCGCGTCGCCTTTGTGTTCACAGGACAAGGCGCTCAGTCGGCTGGTATGGGTTACGAGCTGCTCCGCGATAATAATGTGTTTGCCGACAGCATCCGCTATCTGGACCAGTGCCTGGAGACCCTGCCGGACACTCTGGCACCCGAATGGACCCTTTTTGGTAAGCCCCTCGCTTGTTTTCATGGGTCAGGGAATACGCCGTTCAAGATGAAGTGAATGCCTGTTTTCCGGGTTTGGTTTTGCGTCTATGTCCCTGCGTTAGGCCGAAATGAACTCGTCGCTTACTCGAATTTACAGACGAGCTTTCCAAGCCAGCCCCAAACAGCCTCATCGAGAAGACGAGGTACTCGTTGCCCTGCTGCACCGCAGTCCAGATCGGTCTGGTCAACGTTTTCCGGGCCTGGGGCGTCTTGCCCGCGGCCGTTGTCGGCCACTCAAGCGGCGAAGTCGCCTCGGCCTATGCGGCAGGCGTCCTTTCAGCCCGCAAGGCCATCATCATAGCCTATCTGCGCGATCTGGTACCGGATGAGCTGCGGGATGAGAATGGCAAGCCGCGGCCGCGGCGGCCGGGCATGATGGCTACAATCGGCTTGAGAGCCGCGTAGACTGGAACGTTTCTCAGTCCCGGCGCTGTTGTTGCCTGCCACAACAGTCCGAGAAACACGACCGTTTCTGGCGATGCAGACGCGGTACAGGAAACCCTTCGAAAAGTTGCCGAGACGGACCCGCTCATTCGTTGCCACGCGCTCCGGGTCCGAACGGCCTTCCACTCGCATCACGTTGGGCCGAGCGCGCTCAAGTACGAGGAGCTGCTAAGACCGTTTCTCGACGGAGTAGAGACCAGCAACCGACCCTTTGATTCTCCTCCGCTGTATAGCAGCATCTCGGGGTCCCTCGTAGAAGACGCCGCGAAGTTGGTGGGAAGCGCGCGATACTGGCGAGACAGCCTTGAGAAGCCCGTGTAAGCCATACTTTTTTTCTTGTCTCGATGATGATTCCATCGACAAACGGATTTGCATGAAGCATTGGAAAGCTGATTTTGAATGCAGAATGTTCCGACAAGCTCTGGAACAGCTGGTCAGCTGGGAGCATGACAACAACCCGCTCCTCCTCCTTGAAATCGGGCCTCATCCCGCACTCAGAAAGCCTATCGCAGAGACGGTTTCGGCACTGGAGGCGTCATCATCGTCATCATCCACAACTGCTGAGCCACAAGCTTTGCACATCGCGACCCTGCGCCGGGGCGAGAGGTCCGACGAGGCCCTGCTACGAACGGTGGGGGAGCTGTTCGTGCGCGGAGCTCTCACGGAGGCGAACATGGAGTCCATCTTCAGACCAGACGGGTCTGCCTCTCCTGCTCCACATTGCCTGACCGACCTGCCTCCTTATGCATGGCACCACGGCACGCAGTATCTGGATCCGCCGCGCGTGGCCAGCGTTTACAAGAGCGCGCGGCATCTCCCTCACGAGCTGCTTGGCTCTCGGGTTCCGGACGCCACCGACCTCGAGCCGTGCTGGCGCTGTGTTCTTGAGCCCGACGACCATCCCATATGGCTGGGCCACCACGTCATCGATGGCCAGGTAATCTTTCCCGCCGCCGGCTACATCGCCATGGCGGGCGAGGCTGTCAATCGGCTTGGGGCCGGCCATGTTGCTGATAAGAGTTACGTCATTCGTAACGTTTCGTTCAAGGCCCCGCTAGTCGTGCCACAGTGATCGGCATTCGAGCTCTTCACAAGGCTCTCGCAGGCTCAAAACCAAGGCCAAGACTCGGACAACGGCGCCTTCGAGGACAACTGCCCGGACGGCAAATGGTATGATTTCCATATCATGACCTTGGTGCCAGATCGTGATGGTGTCCGATGTTCCAGCCACTGCCGGGGCATGGTGGCCGCGAGTGATGTCACTTCGGCCACATTCTCGGATGGCAAGCCGTGTTGTGGCGGCACCGGCATCAGCGCCGGTTGCCGCTCCGCTGTGGGTCTGCGGATCGGCCTGGACGGTGGCGGCGATGGCGATGCACGGACCGTTGACTCCGCCGAGTGGTACTCCATCGCCGACTCGGTCGGCCTGTCGTACGGCCCCTCGCTGCAGGGCCTCCAAGATATCACAGCGTCCACCTCACGTCTGTTGGCATCGGCCAGGGTTTATGATTACGATGAAGACGAAGACGAAGCAGGGTATGCGCTGCATCCGGCCGTCTTGGACATGGGGCTCCAGTTGAACCTAGTCGCCATGTGCCAGGGGCTCGGCGACAAGTGCGACCTACTCTTACTGCCAACCTACGTTGAGGAGGTTTTGGTGGAAGCAGATACCACACGTCTGCTGCAGAACAGGGAAAACAGCCCCCAGGCTCGGGATGGCAGGCTGGAGATGCGCGCCGAGGTCAGTTGGGTGCGGAAGGGCAGAAGCCTTCAAGGCACCGTCATCGCCACCTCCAGCGGTAACAAAACCTCTCACAGCGATCATCTTGGTCCCCGGCTTTCCATGCGAAACGTCAAGTTCATGGCCAAACCGCCGACGGCCCGGCACACGCCCCAAGATGCCCCCCTGACGACGACGCAGCCCCATCTTGCGTCCGTCTTTGAATGGGCCGCGGACGCCAAACTCATTGATTTGGACAGTGTTGATTCAGTCGCCGAAATGACCCGGCTGCTCGCCTTCAACAACCCGCGCTTACGCGTCTGTGTCTTCGCTCACGACGGCGACGTAGCCCTGGTCTCCGCCGTCATGCGAGCCCTCGAGACCCAGGCCATGTCCAACGGCAACGTATTGGCATCTCTGACGTACGCGGCCGCTGCGACGGCAGAGCTGAGTCTGGCTCAGCTTTCTCTGCAAGAGGGCGAACAATACCATGTGAAAATCGCTCCCACATGGCTAGACATGTCTCAAATCCTCTCGGCCCAGCTGGAAAATCATAGCGGTTTTGACCTTGTTCTCGTCGATGGGCCCGCCGCCTTGACCAGGTTGTGCTCTATCTCGGCTCCTTATGAAACTCCTTTGCCCGTTAATCCCGGGGGATGGTTCCTGGTCGACCGCTCTGGTGGCGAGGCCAAGACTGAAACTGAGACCGACAGGAAGCTGGAGCAGCTCGGCTTCGCACTTGTGCGCCGGCGTTCTCCCTCCTCTGATATTACAAACAAAGTATTTCACGCGGCAAGAGCTTTGCTGCCCGGACATAGGAAACACGCCGGCTCGAGACAGCGACGTGTCGTCATCATACTCGCAACATCCGCACTCGAAGAGCTGGCCCGGTCACTCCAGAGCGCCTTGGAAGAGTCCGACTTACGCTCCGAGGTTCGTGTCTGTCACTCCGGGGGCGAGCCGCTATCTTCCGATGACGATGAGAACGAACAAACCGTCATCGTATCGATGCTGCACCTGGAACAGTCGCCGGCAGAGGAAACACTCACTGCTAAGTCCTCCAGAAGCTACATTGACAGCCTCCTCGCGGCTCGGCAACCCCGCGTCTGGCTTCTTCCGCCCCTTCAGCTGGGTAGTACAGGACCGGCATCTCTGTGTCATCGGCCCGACCCAGCGTGGCTGATCGGTCTCACGCGCACCGCACGCACCGAGAACCCGGCACTAGACTTCACCACGATCGAACTCGACACGGTTAACACGCCCGCCCGGATCGCGGTCGATGCCGTCGCTCGCATCGTCGACAGATTAACCCAGCTCGGCCCCGAACCGTGGTCGGAGATCCTGCAGCATGACAGGCCGGACATGGACCGCGAGTTCGGCGTCACGCCGGACGGGACTGTGCTGATTCCCCGGATGACATGGTCGTCCCTCGATGACGCTGCCAGCTCTGTGGAAGCGGATACCGCGGACCAAATTGGCGGTCCGGGACTTGTGTCGTTCCGCGAGGACGCAAGCTATCTGCTGGTCGGTGGCCTCGGCGGGCTCGGGAGGTCCGTCTGCCGCTGGATGGCCGCACGGGGGGCACGCCACCTCGTGCTATGTTCTCGCTCTGCCGCCGAGCCCGAAGAGGCTACGCTTGCCTTGGTGGATAAGTTGGCCTTCATGGGCTGCGCCGCCGTCCGCGTAAGCGGGTGCGCAGAAGACCGCTTGGCTGCCGAGCGCGCCGTCGCGGCAGCCGATCACTCTGCTCCTCGCGGGCTCGCCGGCGTCCTCCACATGCCCATGGTCCTCCTTGACCGGCCGCTAACGGACATGACCTGGGACGACTGGACCGCCGTCGTGGACCCCAAGGTGCGCGGTGCCTGGAACTTGCACAACACTTTGCGCAGCCACCGACGGAACAGGCCCGATTTCTTCGTCCTCTTTAGCTCCGTCAGCGGTATCGTGGGCCAGCGCGGCCAGGCCAACTACAACGCGGCCAATGCCTTTCTCGACGCCTTCGCGTTGTATCGCCGCGGCCTCGGTCTCCCAGCTAGCGTGCTGGACCTCGGCATCGTTGGCGATGTAGGAGCGGTGGCGCGCGACAAGGCGCTGTCGGCGCAGTTCCGCAAGGCCGGCTACGTATTCCTGGGGGAAGACGCGGTCCTACAGGCCGTGAGCATCGCCGTCAGCCCCTCCGCCCAGCCGCAGCTCGTTGTAGGCCTAGCGCGGGATCCGTAGGCCGACACCGCAACCCGGTCCGTCGTATGGAATGGCGACCCCCGTATGGCCAAGGGTTCGGGGTTGGTATCTGATGGAAGCGATCGACACGGCGGCGCGAGTGCCGCCGATGCCATCAGGAGAGAGACGCAGGACATCATCTCCTGGGCAAAAGAGTCCCCTGTTGGGCTCGTGACCGACACCCGACGGGAGTCACTGGCATTCTGTCTCGGCAGGGCCGTCCACCAAGTGCTAGTGACGCCGCTGAAGCAGTTGTAGCTGACAAGGAACATCAACTCGCTGGGCCTGGACTCCTTCGCCGCCGTCGAGCTGACGGCCTGGATCCAACAGCACTTTGGCGTCCATCTCTCGACCATGGAGGCCAACACCAGTATCAGCCTGCTGCAGCTGGCCGATCTCGTCATGGACAGAATGGTGGTGAAGCACAGGCAGGCGAAACAGCCGGGAAAGCCTTGGATAGGCGGAAACCAGCCGCACGCGGCGATTGGGACAGCGTGGTTGGCGTGGCTAAGTAGACTTGTCGAATCTTTTTACGTTTCAGTGTCTATTATTCCCTCCTTCTTCCTCATATTACTCGCTATGATAGTCGTGGCATGATCTGCACCTTGTTCATTATTTGACATCGGGCTCTGATCTGCACAGAAGTCAGTCTTCAGTCTGAGGTCACCCATCCCTCAGTTTCTTTATGGAAAGTATTCAAGTTCAGCGCACTGCGCGTTAATTCAAGCATTAATCGTACTAATCGTGAACATGTTCAGATTCTGTGCCTCAGTTGCGTACTCTTGTTGATTTCTCATCGCCTACCTGCGGCTGCTTTCAAGGAATCTCTGCATGGAGTTAATGTTATGGGATACTTTCTTTCAAGTTTGTATTTCGGTACAGTGCAGACACACTAAGAAAGATTACATAAACTCACTTAGTTTGCATGTGATGTAGAGTGCCGATTTGAACAGCGTGATTGACATCGTTCCGTTAGATAGAGTCGATATCTATAATGTCATATTTACTGATACTTCAACCGGAATTAATACTGATAATAGTTCTTTTAGTAGATCAGGTAGTCGCAGCAGCAACTGTAGTGCAGCTTCCAGTGACGCCTGCGAAATGGTTTATGATTTGAGTTACACAGCGAGGTTTCGACCTTTTCTTCTTAATTTAAATGAATGCTGGCGTATGATTTCAAGCAGTGTAGTTACGCAGAAATCCAGTCAGTTTAAGAAAACGCGTTGGGTGAAGCTCATGATCAGTGTTGTCGTGCCAATGTGCTGTTGAAGCATGATGCCGAGAGCTTTAGGCTTCAGCAAAATAGGATTTTGTCACAGCTTATCTTTCTACGATTGGACAAAGCCACAGAGAGCGAACAAGTCTGTTAGGAAGACATGATCAGTAAACCGGTGACGGATTTGGCGGAGACCGGGTCCGATAAGTCGGCGTCCGTCTTGCTTCCAGAGTACAGGGCCCGCTTTATCGGTGGTCTCGCCGGGCCCGTCCGGAAATAATATCCTTTTCGTGTTCGGGCCAGGCAAGATCAACATAGAGAGTCACATTGAAAAGCGTGATCCCTGTTAGTATCCACACCAACTCCGCAGACCGCCGTTGACCAAAGTCCCTTTCACCAGCTTTTCCGTTCATCAGGCAAACTGCGGAAATTTTTGCTCGTCTCTCATGGTCTCACGATGATGCCAGACGTGCCTTTTTAAGAGTTTTCGCAGTCAAAACTTGACGAAACAAGGAGCGGCCGCCTCCAGGCAACAGAGCGGCCGTATATCCAAGAATTGCTCATTGAATGGGCCCTCTTCGGAGCCGAGCTTCCTCTAACGGGTTGAGGAAGTTCGAATCAGGCTCTGGCCATTTGCCGTACTCCACTCCTCGGGCTGCTAAGTGCTTCTGGAAGCAAACGTGGGCCGTCCCGGCACACAAATGCCACCTCAAGTCGCGCCCGTTCTGTCTCGCGTCGGGCAATTGGTTCAAACGGCTCAAGATGCATGCGTTCTGGCATGGATTCTTGCGAAGTCGCAAGCCAAGTCAGCCCATTGTCGTTGGCGGTCCACATTTGACGCGTCTCGATATAGACCTGCTCGCCCAAAATTGAAATGCCATGAGGTTTCTGCTTGTTTTCTCGATTTCCTTCTGAAACTCGGCCTTTGCGAACGATGTTCTCGTGCTCTGATTGGCCGCAGCCGTTGACATCTCTTGGTAAGTGACGACTTTTCAACCCTGAATACTCATCAAGACCACTCCACTACGGATACCCGTGATCCGAACTTAATCTACATATGCCGTCTTTCAATCTCCATTTTCTACGTAACCCAGTCGCTAAGGTTTCGTAGCAGCTCCCAGCATCGGGCGTAACCCATCACGCGCAACCCATCACATATTACCCACCGGGCAAAACCCATCTCTCTCGAGGCGAATTTGCATCTTCTAATCGCAAAAGCTGTGAGACGTGAGATCAAGAAACAGTTCACCCGACGGAGGATCGGTCATTATCCAAGCCGTTACAAGAGTGTCATCTGCGGCTCATCGTCATATCTCCACTGTGACGCTGGAGGTTTGACTTTCTGGCTCGACGAACTTGTTCTAGATCGTCGTCGCACAGCCACCTTGGCGCATGCGGCTTGATTTTATAAAGAGGCTCTGAAAAGCTCCATGAAGGTTATATCTCACAAGCTCATCCAGTACTTCATCACATCTCTCAACACTTTTCCGGCGATCTCATAGTTGTGATGGCCATCATGTCAGACAAACCTTTCACAGTCCTCATTGCCGGCGGCGGTATAGCCGGCCTGACGCTTGCAAACATGCTCGAGAAAATCGGCGTCAACTACTTGATTCTCGAGGGTTATCGCGAGATGGCACCTCAAGTAGGCGCGAGCATCGGCATCCTTCCAAATGGTTGCCGCGTCCTGGACCAGATTGGCCTGTACGACGAGATCAGGAAACTCATCGATGGCCCTCTCTACGAGACGTCTCTTCGCCACCCTAAAGGTAACATGGTCACCAACTACTTGAACGTTGGAGGTCAAGTACGCGAAAGGTAAGTGGCAATAACCTGTCATGCCTGTGAGCACATTTTTGAACAGAGTTTGACATGTCTCCAGGCACGGATATGATACCGTCTTCGTGGACCGCCAAATGATCCTTGAAGTGCTGTGGCGCAACCTCAAGAATAAGGACAATATCCTTGTCAACAAAAAGGTGACAAAGGTCGAGCTTGAGCCATCGCGAGTCAAGGTGGAGACAGGCGATGGAAGTTCTTACTACGGAGACATCTTGGTCGGCGCAGATGGTGTCCACAGCAAGGTCAGAAATGAGATGTGGCGGCTTGCAGATGTCCTTGAGCCTGGCTATATTCCTGCCTCAGAGTACAAAGGTAAGTCCTGGCCCACGAAACTCTGTGGGAACAGCGACTAACAGATAAAATAGAGTGTCTTCCCACGGTCTACAAATGCATCTTCGGTATTTCCATCGACAAGAGCTGGGAGCCACAGACTGTGCAGACGAACTTGAACAAGGGCTACTCTTACCTCATCATCAGTGGACCTAAGAACCGTGTTTACTGGTTCCTGTTTGTTAACATGGGTACGACTCACTACGGCCCTGAGCTCCCCAGCTTCACCAAGAAAGACGAAGAGACCTTGGCAAATGAGCACATGAACGACAAGATTCTGGAGAACCGCACCTTCAGAGATTTGTACTCGACCAAGATCTCATCCGTGCTCACCCCTTTGCCCGAATATGTGTTCAAGAAGTGGCATTTCCAGCGCATCATGACCATTGGAGATGCGGCGCACAAGGTGAGATATCCCTGCCATCTCATCAAACGGCACGTGATCTTGCTGACCACCATTATAGTTCGAGCCAATTGCCGGCCAGGGAGGCAACAGTGCAATCGAGACCGCTGCTGTCCTCGTCTCAAACCTCGCAACTATGCTAAAGAGCAGGACGCGCCCGTCAGACATCACCTCGGCCGACATCAACGCCGTATTCACAAAGACCCAAGCGACACGGGAGGCGCGAACCCAGGCGCTCGTGAAGGCATCTCACGAAGAGCAGCGCTTCGCCGCCATGGAATCCCCTCTCCTGGAAGTGGTTGGTAATCACGTTGCTCCAATCCTTTCTCTCGACGAAAAGTGGGATCAGTGGTCCCAAAACATCGAGGGTGGGCACAAGCTCGAGATCATGGATGCTCCGAAGCGTCCTCATGCCGTCCCATTCCATGACGAGCTGGCCAGCACTCCTCTGGCTCCGTCCTACATCCCCAAGATCACAGTTGCCGCCGCGCTGTGCGGTCTGCTCTACATTGCGCAACACGCGCTTGTTCTGAATACGGGCCCAGAGGTTGTCGCTGTGAGCGCCTCGTTCGTGGGCGTGCCTGCGAAGACCACTTACACGGGGTTCCCATCAATCGACAATCTTCTCGCCATCTTTGTCTGGGCCTTCTCGGAACAAGTCGCTGGTCCCAATCCCAATGACAGAACCCAGTGCCTCTACTTCCTGATCAGTTTGATCCCCATCATCTACATCTGGACGGTCGAAGGCTACCGTAACGGCAACGTTCATTCCTTGGTTTCCATCCCGTCCATCTTTGGTATCTACCAGCTGCTGGGAATAGGAAAGGTCGCGCCGTTCTACTTCCTCCTCAGCGTGTACACAACCAGCAGAAACGTCTATGCTCGCACAACCGGCCGTCCCGTTCCTTCTCATGTCGCCAAGGTCATCTTACCCGCTCTATGCCTTGGATATGCCATCCCCACGGCCCTCATGTTCCTGCCCCATGAGGATGCCGTCACTCAGCAGAACGCCATCGCTTTCTGGCAACCGTTCCCTGTCTACGTCTCACTTCTCGCCTGGGCCGGTTCAAAGGTTGTGTATGCCATGAAGCCCACCAAGACCCTCGATTGGGAAGCCCTCGAGAACAAGGACCTCCCTTACCTTCAGTCTGGCTACGCTTTCTGCTTTTTCGCCACTGCCATCACTCACATCAGCACATTCCTGTA